AATTGACAAATATTACAATCCACATTAAATCTTAATTTCAGAAATTCCTTAGCAGGATAAATATCGTACACAATTTTAAAGTGCACTTAGTGGAAGAGCAAATAACAAATATTTGTATCTAAATTCATTAACTGATTTCCTATTTAGATGTTGAAAAATATAGTTCCTTCTTATGATAGCTTTATAGCTTTCCTGCACAAGACAATTCCTTATAAACTTATTAGTACACTTCTCATCTACAAAATTTATTTTGAAGATCCAAAGATCCAAAATCTTGGGAATGATAGTGGAATATGTTAAAATCCCCTTTAACATATTAAGGAATGGTAAAGGAATACTTTTAGTAACTTTCAAATAAACTTTTTCCTCACACTTAAAATTAAATTTAGAGCAAAAATCATAATAATTAAAAAAACAGCCATTCTTATCCATAATGTGCAGCACTGACCAAATACCTCTTTGCCACCAGTCCTCCAAAAATAAAGATTTTCTTTGAAATAAAATACAACGATTATTCCATAAGGAAACATTATGAGGACTGAAGTTATGTTTAAACAGCATTTTCCAATACAAGAGGACTTGTTTATGAAAATCTGACAGTTTCAGTGGAATTTTAGATATATCAAAGTCACATTGTAAAAAAAAAACTTTATACCTCCAAATTTTTTAAACAAACTGGATGGAATTGCAAACCAGTATGAATGCTCGTTTCTAATAAAAGACTGAAGCCATTTAAGTTTAAGTACTCCATTCATAATATCAAACTCTATTGCCTTTAACCCACCATCCTCATATTCTCTTATTATATCATTTTTCCTTATATAGTGATACTTTTTCCTCCAAATGAAATCAAAATTAAGTTTATTAATTGCTTTTATCTTTCTGGAAGAAATTGGGCAGTGAAGAACCTGGGTAAATTAATCTAAAAAGACTTTCAATTTTCAATAGCAATTGCATATGATCTTTTAAAAAAAGGGTTGAATCGTCAGCAAGCTGACTTATAATAAAATGGTGTTCCATAAAATTAATACCAGCGATATTCTCATTTTTAACTAGAATAGCTAGCAGTTCCGCAACCATAATAAATAACAGAGGTGAAGGAATACAAGTCTTGTCTTAAGCCTCTGTTCACCTGAAATCTTGGACAAGTTCCCTTGGGAAGAGCCACTGAACTATTAATGCCATTGTAAAGCATTTTGATGATATTTATAAATTTTGGCCCAAAACCAAAATGACTGAGTGTGTGAAAAAGAAACGGATGTTCTACCATATCAAACGCTTTAAAGAAATCTAAAAATAAAATAAAACCATCGTTTTCAATTAAATGACTATATTCTATGATATCAAGCACCAAACGAATATGGTTATGAATTGATCTACCCTTAAGGAACCCAGATTGAGTCTCACTAATTATTTGAGGAAGTCCCACCCTTAACCTGGTCGCAATCACTCCGGAAAATATTTTGTAATCAGTGTTGAGGAGCGTAATAGGCCTTAGACGATCTAAAATCCTTTTGTCTTTTCCAGGTTTTGGAATCAGAATAATAAGACCCTGCTTCATAGTAGGCAATAGATTATTATATATAATACAATCTTGTAGTGCTTCAAACAATAACATTTTTAAATCTTCCCAAAAGAACTTGTAAAAATCTGAGGTTAGGCCATCTGGCCTAGGAGAGTTACCAGTTTAAATTTTTTTAAGGCTAAATCTAATTCTTGAATGGTCAAATCGGATTCACAAAGTTCTTTAAACGAATTCTCAACTGTAGGGATATAGTTTTTACTTTCTTAAAGAAATGTTCAGAATCATCACTGGAGTAAGCAGACGTATATACATTTGAGTAGAACTGAAACACCTCTCTTGCAATAATATTGTTATCAGAACATTCATTCTGATTTATCAATAAACTATCTACAGCATTTCTTACTTGACGTCTTTTTTCAAGATTGCAAAAGTATGAGCTATTTTTCTCCCCCTCCTCCATCCATTTTGCTCTTGACCTCACGGATGCACCCTTTGCTTTACATAAAGTTCATCCAATAAAGAACGTAAATGAATAAGTTTTTTCTTATCTTCATCTGATAGAATAGATTTGCAACAGCACAAATTAATCTTATTTATTAAACTCATTTCTTTCGCTAATCTCTTTTTCTTAAGATTTTTCCCATAAGTTATTGAAAATTCTCTACGTTTATATTTTAAAAACTCCCATTTACTACCACTTGGCATACGTTTCCTACCGATATCAGTTATAAACTTCTTTATATAGGGAAGTCATGGCCTAATGGTTAGAGAGTTGGACTCATGACCCAAAGGTTGCGGGTTCGAGTCTTGTACCGGCAGGGATTGTAGGTGGGGGGAGGGAATGTACAGCGCTCTCTCCCACCTTCAATACCACGACTGAGGTGCCCTTGAGCAAGGCACTGAACCCCCAACTGCTCCCCGGGCGCTGCAGCATAAATGGCTGCCCACTGCTCTGGGTGTGTGTTCATGGTTTGTGTATGTTCACTGCTGTGTGTGTGCACTAAGGATGGGTTAAATGCAGAGGACTAATTCCAAGTATGGGTCACCATACTTGGCCACATGTCACTTCACTTCACTACAGTAGTCATCCTGAGTTAATAGGTCAGCATTTGATTTACAGTACCCTTAGGAATTACTAGATTCACCCTTTTGTTTTAAGTTTAACTCAATTACACAATGATCACTTAAGGGAGCACTAGAGATAGAGCAATTATATACATGCTTATAGACAGCCTCAGTGCCAAGCTAATAATCAATTCTTGATCTCATATTTGCATTGGGTTTAAACCAAGTAAATCGTCTAATGCCTGGATTCTGAGTTAGAAGAACTTGAAGTGGAGGGAATCTGGTAAAGGGAAGAGTTTCAAATTTATGGAGAATTATAATTAGTATTTTCTTTTTCTCCCCCATCCTCTCATTTTGAAGATAATAGCTAACATGACTGCACAACAGCAACGTACTGTAGGTGGCGCTATACATTTAGATTGTTATGCGCCAAAAGAAGAAGAAGAACTTGCAGTGGAAAAGAAACGACAGTTCTGAATGGAGGCAGATTGAGCTTTTATAGATCAGATGATGCTAGCAGGCTAACATGCTGGTCACGTTTGCTCTAAGCTAGCTGGTTAGCCACTGTGTTTCATTTAGCCTAGTTGTAATCGGAGTCTTTGATTTAGCTGCTAACACAGCGCATCACAACAGAGTAATAAAAATGAATTATTCGGATTACGACTCGGACGGCTATTCCTCAAGTGAAGATGAAGACTATGTCCCTTCTGGTAAGATATTTTAGCATGAAGCTGGCATGGTTGTATATGAGCAAGAACACGGATGAAGCTATGCTACATTGTCTGTGCTCTGCATATGTAGAGTGATCCGTTTTAACATTACACATTATTTAATTAATGATATGCAGAAACAATTACACAAAGAGTATCATAGATAATGCTCATTTTGGGTTCATACTTTCCGAATGATCTTTAACTTACATCTATTATCAAAGTATTGTCTAGAATGTATATTTATGAGTCCATTTGAATATTACAGGTGTTTCATGTGATAAGATTAATTAATATGCTGACGTACTCCATTCTAAAATAAGTTTATTTGGCTGTGAGAGTGATGAGAAGGATGCAAACAATTAACGTTACTGATATTATTTACCAAGACCCCTGCTGGTCTTTCGTGGTCCTGTATGCCTTGCAAATGAACACCACATCTTTCATGGTCTTTATCTTAGAAGGATCATACATTTACAGCATGAACTGTATAAGACTCTTTTAGTGGGTGGAGGAGAAGAACTGGTACTGAGAGGAAAAACTATAGGACTAGAAGTGAGAACATTCTGCCTTTAACCGTTCACTTTTCCTAATTTAAAATATGAGAGAGATTCTCTGTAATAGAGGACTTAAGGTCTAAATAATTAGGAAAAACTGCAATTTGGGCTAGTTTTTTGAGTGATGTTGGCTCTCAACCCAAAGGAGCAGCTGCAAGTACGGGCTCTCAGCAGGTAACCATCAACTCAAGAAAACGATCAAAGTGAAGTAAGATATATAATTTATTGTTTTTAAGTTTCATGTACTAATATCAGATTTCTGTCTTTGCTCCATTTGGGCTGATGTAAAATATTTGGGGGGTTTTGTGTGTTTTATTGTGTTTTTGGTTCGTTGTCTTTGTAGTCATGATACTACAGTCAGAATGCATTACTTATTTTTTTTTAAATTTAAATTCATAAAATTAAATTTCTTTTTCATTTGATGTATTTTGTGCTTGTATTTTATTTGTCTCTTAGATACATGTGCATGTTTTTTGTTTGCATCTCTTCTAGTCCACATCTACAACTAGCATAGATAAGCCCAGTAAACCCCCTACAGTGTCTCAGCAGCAGGAGGACAAACCAAAAGAATCCTCCAAAATCACAATTACCAAGGTGTTTGATTTCGCAGGAGAAGAAGTTCGGTAAGTGGAAGAGTTTTTTGTAACTTTAAGCCTTTTATGTGGCCACCAGAGGGCAGTATACGTTCATTAATTAGATGTAGAGCTGAACATTCTCTAAACAATTCTTCAGAAATATGTTCTTTTTAAAACGGTGGTTTGTGCAAATAGGCAGTTCATTTATAAAAAAAAAAATATATATGTGCCTGTTTTTTGGGCCATTTCAGTGAATGCTGTCATTTAATAGTTAATAAAAATGCTCTTGTCATCTTAGTATACTATTGCTGCTTTTCAATAATTCATTTCAGTACATTGTATTTATGAGCCAGTAAAATATTCAAATCCTGCCAAGCACAAAGCACTGACAAACGTTGAAGTCATTTGATGAACACATGATGTTTTTATAGAATAAATGTTAATCTCAATACATTGACCCCAGAAATATTTGGACACTTTTGATACTTAAAAATGTATGAATTTCACTGCATAAATGACAACATATTAAAATAGTGCTATAATATTAATGATATTAATAGCAATATTTGTTTATGTTCTGCTTATAAAAATGCTATATTTCTTTACACTTTTGCTATTTTTGTTTTGCTGTTTTGAAGTGTATGTTTTAAATTTGTGTGTCCAGATACTCGTTTGGGGAAAAAAAATACACTACAGTGAAAAAGTTAAACAGTGATTTTGTAAAATATTATTTCTGTTTAAAATAAATAGAAAAATTATTTTCTATTTAATGTAATTTATTCTTATGGCAACGCTGAATTTCCATCAGTAATTACTCCAGTGTCACACACATCCTTACAAAATCATTCTAATATCCGAATTTCTTACGAAACATTTCTTATTATCAATGTTAAAAACAATTATGGATATTTGATATTTGTGAATCTGTGTATCATTCATTCATTTGTGTTTTGATTTAATATTGAAAGTAGAAAAATGAAAAAAAAAAAAAAGGCTCCTTTTTGTTTTTTTTTCTCAAAAAATTAAAAACGAGAATTCAGCTTAAATTTTCGTTTTTCGTTCAGGGGTAGAAAAATGAATAAACAGCTTGAATATTCGATTTCTACATGTGGGCGGGAATTAAACGCCCCTCTCCGCTGATTGGTCAGCCGAAGATCAAACCGTGCCATCATCAGTTCTTCTGCAGTATCACAGCAGCAGAATAATAGTCCTCCACTGCTGCAGTTGTATGGATTCTTAATGCATTCGTTGCTTCTACATTTAATCTTTTTTCATCAAACAAACAGACTAATGAATAGCTCGACACAACTCGTACTGGGGCATTGTCTAGATGGGGCTTTCTTTTGTGTAGATATAAATTCTATTCTTTGCATTAGAATAGGAAAGTGTCATGCCATTAAATTGGAAAGTGCAACATTTTTGTGTTAAGTAATAAGCCTTTAGAACAACATTAAGGTGAGTAGCCTAATCACTCTAGTTCACACAGTTCCAATAAATTGAGATGAGTTAAATAAACTCAATAAGCAGACAGACGCAACTACAGTCAAGCGCAGACCAGTATTGAAGTGCACAGAAAATAAGCAGCAGTCATATTTAAAGCAGTTTAAATTAATATCGAGTACTGATTGATGTTCACTTGGATTTTTTCCGCATCGAGGGGAAATAACTTAATACTCTGTCATTTATAGCCGTATGGTAAAATGTATATTTTTATTTGTGTAACGTTACGTTCTAAATAACTACAAACTGTCATGCCTTTGAAAAATAAAGAGAACAACAGAATGCGCTGCTTTAGCGCGTCTCGGTCTCCTTGAGCATCTTTCTGGCGCATGCCACAAACATGAACCACAGCGAATACCTGTCTTTTAGAAGGCTTCATTTAGATTATTTGACGTTAAATGCATCATATAAGTCACTTTGGAATAACTCACAGTAGGCCTATGTATCATGATAAAAAAATGTCTATATGATATATATATAACTAATCTATCTCTCTCTTTCTATATATTTATATATATATATAAATTAATTAATTAAAAAATATATATATATAGAAAGATATAGATATTAGTGCTGTCAAGCGATTAATCGCATATAAAATAAAAAAATGTGTTTGCATAATGTGTGTTCTGTGTATATTTATTATATATAAATACACACATACAGTATATATTTTGAAAATATTTACATGTCTATACTGTTATATAATTTATATTAGAAATAAATGTATTTAATATATAAACAATCTTTCTGAAATATATACATGCATGTGTGTGTATTTATATATACATAATAAATATACACGGCACACATACATTTATGTAAACAAAAATGCTTATTTTGAATGTGATTAATCGTTTGACAGCACTAATATCTAGATATAGATATTCATGTGCAGAATAAGTATTTTGATCATTATATCTTTTGTTGTGGTCCACAGGGTCACCAAAGAGGTGGACTCCGACTCACGAGAGGCCAAGAGTTTTCTGAAGGAGGAGGAGGAGAAGGTGCTGAAGGAGAAAGAAGAGTCCTCTGAGCCACAGCCATCCGTACCGCTCTCCTCTGGATCCAGGTACCACCCCAGTGCATCCCTTTAGTCCTGCGTTTTGTTATTCTGATCCTTCTCAGTACATACGAAATTACAGTTTACAACCATTGTGTCAGTTAATTAATGAAACAAAGTGGTTTTTAATGGTTCTGTTTTGTGTTTCACTAACGCAGAAGTGAAAAACTCATTAGCGCTTAGACTATAATTAATTCTTTGTTATTGATGTTGTTATATTACAGTAATTAGATGTGATCTCCTTCAGTGGGGTTGGTGCTGGTAAATGGATGGAGACGTCTGTGTGTGTTTGCCGTGCAGGGCTAGAGGGAATGTCAGATGTATCATTGATCTCTGACAGCTATGATAGCGAGTCTTTGATCCTCTGTAATTCCATATCTGCCTGTAGGGAAAACCTGCGATGACACACAAATATGTTTCAGCCGCAGTGTGCACAGATGTGTGTATACGGGTTGAATTTCCTCTACTGAACCAATCAAAAATGGCCCTTGTAGTCCAGACAGGACATCTGTGGAGTTTGTGTATGTTTAAGAGTTAATCATTGTTGTGATCTTCCGCTGGTCTTCACCACTCCTTACATAGGGTTATTTTGGACAGACGGTCTCATCTGTCCTCTGAGACCCTGAATGTTTGCTGAACAGGAAGTCATATTTTTCCCTGCACAGGATGTACAGTATTGGGCGTTGGCTTGCGGAGCAGGAAAGCAGCTTGAACCCCACCTCTCTCATCCCTTTATCATCCAAACGACTGTCACTTAATGTCCACACTACAAATGTCCTATATTCACTCGGCCTCTGTCTGTATCTGGTTTTGATTTTGATGGCTTCTAAGTGCTTGCATATCATTTCTCACTCAATGTGACTTTTTAATCAGGCCTCTTCAAATTCCAATGGCTGTCTTGCTCCAGCACAGCAGGATTCCCGCTTAAACTAGGCACTGAAGGAGTCTAAACACAAAGGGTACCTGTCTCCAGTATTCACCCGCTTCCCTTCTCTTCCTTTAAGCCTCTTTTGTGGGATTTGAGGTTAGAGGGCTTGAGTCAGCAGCACTGTGGCGCTCTCTCTCACACACAGGCACAGTGGCTCTCTGTTTCTCTACTTAACATTGTCATACTGCGCCTCAATGCAGAACTGCTGATGATGGTAATACACGCTTCTTCCTTCCATTGCATTTTTGTACCTTTTCCTTGCGCACAGATCTTACTTTGTAACTCTGGTTGCTATAATTATGGAAAATGGTAACCCTTTACAGTAAAGATTAACATTATTTAGCATTTTACATATCATACATATTGTAAAAAAAATATTCTTTTTACATGTATTTTTCTAGGTTACCTATAATTTATAAACATGATAAATATTATTCTTTGTTCATTTGTTTGCTTATAATACGTTAATGTTAAATTGTGCATATTGTTAAGTGGTAAAAATGTATTATTAATATACAACTATTGTTCAAAAGTTTAAGGTAAGATATTTTGTTTTTATAAGAAATTAATACTTTTTATTTAGCAAGGACTAAATAAAATCGATCAAATGTGAAAGGAGATACTTTTACATTGTTACAAAATAAATATATCTCAAATTTAGTTACTTTGAGCTTCCTGAAAAAAAAAAAACTTGAAAAAACAGATCACATTAAAAAATTCGTAAAGGATCATTTGACACTGAAGACTGAAAATTCAGCTTTGTCATTGCAGGAGTAAATTAAATTTTAAATGTTGTAAAATAGAAATTACAATTTAACATTGTAACAATATTTCACCACATTACTGTTTTTACTGATCAAATAAATGCAGGGGTCAAGCAGTTCATCTACTGTAAAAGAGACTGTACACTGTGTGTGTGAATGTGGATGAACAGATTTTGTTACAAATATATACATATATAAGCTTGACACAAACAAAGCAAGAAGCCTTGTGGCCTAAGCGGTAATATTAGTAGTTTTCATCTTATGTGTTGTGGTTTGGTTAGCGCTTTCTAGTTCTCAATTTTCTCATGCTCAGGGCAGTATTCTAAGTATTAGTGAATAATTGCTTCCATTCCAATGAGTAAAACTCAGCTGTTCTGTAGTAGTCCATACAGCAGGGAGTTTATGCTATGTTATCCCTGCCATTATAATTCTCCTAGCTTTAAGTCCAAGGCTCCAGACTGCGACTAATGGTTGCATTTGCGACCAAAAATATTAATTTGCGAGAAGTTTTTGCTGCGGTCGCCACTGGCGACTATAGAAATGTACATATGTTATGATTTAAAATTTGCATGTAATTACTTTTTTCTTATTGTTTTGCGATCACATCGTTTGTTATGTTCAGGGCAGGATTTAGGGGGGCGGGGGCCCCTGGGCTTGAGGTTATGTTTGGGCCCTATACCTACACTACAAATGCCCTCAAATAGAACGTCATTATGGAGTAACACAAAGTACACAAACATATGCTTTGAGGTTCATAAATAGTACAATTAATATGCAACATGTCTAGGCTTCGAGTAAATAACTTCGAGCAAAAAAACTAAATAAATAGAGATGTTGGCTTATTAGTATTATAAAAGTTATTGTCATATCTGTGTCCTCTTATGTCAGGTTCTTATTTAATGAATAAATTCAATCGAATAAAAAAAAATGCTGGCTATTAACAATCAAATGAAATCACTATCAACAAAATTCATAGATGGATTGTGCATAAATGTTCAGTTTAAATCTAACATTTTAATGTAGAAATATTAAATGATTGCAAAAATTAAATAAGCTACTTTTTAAAATATGAAACTACAACCGCCAGTAGGTGGCAGCAAGTCTTAATGAGTGAGTTGAATCCACCGATTCGTTTAAAAAGCTGATTCATTTAACTTTGCAAACGACTGTCTGATTGAATCATTTGCTGGTCCGTGTAACGCTGAGGAACAAAATCTATTTTCTTTCTGACGGGGCAAAATGGAATTTTGTGTCTGAAAGTTACTCTGTAAATTGTTGTTTATTGTACATTTGCGATCGTGCAGATATTTGGAAAAGAAAAAAAAACAGGACTCTTCTTTGTTTGATAGGCTAAGTCCTATATGTTACGGATGAAGCTTTAAATTGCTATTTTTATTTAAAGGGGTCATATGATGCTGCTAAAAAGAACATTATTTGGTGTAATGAAATGTGTTTATGCGGTTTAAAGTTAAAAAAACACATTTTTCCACATACTGTACATTAATGTTTCTCCTCTATGCCCCGCCTTTTTGAAACGCGTTGATTTTTACAAAGCTCATCGGTCTGAAAAAGTGAGGTGTGCTGTGATTGGCCAGCTATCCAGTGCGTTGTGATTTGCCGAATACCTCAAGCGTGTGACGGAAATGTTACGCCCCTCACCATACTGTTGATGCCGTGTCCGGCCGGAGCGACGAGACAAAAACATAAAAAAAAACATTACAAACGAGGCATTTGTTGCATCCAGTGGGGGACACAATTACTGATTATAATGACTTATACTGTCTTTTTACGCGTTGCATTGCATCGCGTTGTGTAAACATTTGTGCTCTGTCTGCATTTGTGATCGGCGAAATGACAAGTGCTACTCTACTGCCCAAAACTCGCGTTTGAATCATCATTGGCAACGAAAAACACAGCGGCCTTCCGTGAGGGGAAGCCCCGGCTTAGCGTGACTAAAAGTTACGCCTTCTTTCTTTGCGTGAACATTTGGGCGGCGTTATGCAAATCTTCCCACATAGTGAGGTAGATATGTGGGGGCGTGTTAGAACGAGCCGTTTATGGTAGGCGTGGTTAACTCTTAACTTTTATAAAGAATATCTCTTTGGTTTTGAGACTTTAGTCTTTGCAACTTTACAGATCTTCTTTATGCACCAAGAGCTTGTAACACTCCAAAGAGAGAGGAAAAATTGAAATCGCATCATATGACCCCTTTAAAACCATTTTGACGACATTTCTTCCCCACTATGTGTAATGGCAGTAAGACGCGAGAGAGCTCTCAAAACTCATCAGATGATCGCATAATTTAGTGGAACATTAATATAGTAATATAGAAACATCCTCTGTAAAGAAATGAGGTGTGAACATTTGAGAATTTATCATTACCTAAATGTGCGCTCTTTGGGGCTAAAGGCTTAATGGAGCTGTTTAAAGTAGCCATGTGATAACAAACCAATCGGTGCAGACGCGAAATATCATAAATACCAGTTTATGCTGTTTGATTGTGGCTTCGAATATCGTAGTTGTAAGCTGTAGCCCCTGTTTAGATCTTGCGTGCGCAGTGGAAATGCGGCTAATAATTTCTGAATTCTGACTGGCATATAACGAACAAATCAAACAAACGTTAACGGGCAAAGGCGGGGCCCATGGGCTGCAGCCCACTCAAGCCCAATGGTAAGTCCGGCCATGGTTATGTTGACGTAATAAACTGAGACGATGCGCATTTAGTGGAAAAAAGACTTCAAACAGTCCTCATCTCTGCCGAATAGCAGCGTTGACTGCACACCTGCTGAAAAGCAGCTCCAGCTGTGCAGCATGAGAGAGCGGAGACGAATGGCGTTATTTTAATGACCAATGTCGAGAGCGCAGTATTGTAGTGCGAAAGCACATACATATAATGCGCGAGCGTGGATCTCTCCGCTCGCACGTGGATAAATATAATGCGCGAGCGTGGATCTCTCCGCTCGCACGTGGATAAATATAATGCGCGAGCGTGGATCTCTCCGCTCGCACGTGGATTTCCTTTGCTCTCGCACAAAACCGGACGCGCGTGCTCAGATACACGCTGCTCTCGCCCAGAGAGAGTGCGCGCACTTAAACATGTCTCTCCTCTAGTTCAAAGTGTGCGCACTCGCAAATCTCTCTATGCTCATGCGCTAGAATAGATCTTAATTATTTTCGCACCCGAATTAAACGTTGTCAAAAGATTTCAAAGATGAATCTGTAATTTCTTTACAATTTAATACTACTTAGTCAGCAATAATCAAACATTAGGAATCAGTCGGGTGCTTGGATGATTTGAAAATAACCTAGTTTAACAG